GAACATTATCAGCCGTTCGTTCCCCTCCCCCTCCCCCTCCCTCCTCTCGCCCCGGCAGGGCCGAGAATTTCGACGCGAATTAACATATATACGCGTTACAATTATTATACGGTTTCTCCTACGTGCGTGTTATGTATAACGTGACATTTATACATTTCGCCCTGGCTATATAACCCGTCAACCCCCAAACACACCTCTCCCCCACCCGTTTTTGAGCGACGTGCCCGTGGATCGTAAACTTTATACATTATTGCTTTGCCGATAGCCACGTCACGTACCTACGATCCGGCACACGTTCGTCCCGTCGAAATTCCACTAATTGCGCGGACGCGTTTCGCCGACTTTCGCCGCGGCGGCGACGCGACGCTTCTTGTAATTTTTGTGGAGTAAAACTCGAAAACGTTCCCGGGAGTGAGAAACGTTGACTAACGAGATTCGCAGAAGAGCCAATTTCGGCCAATTGTCGTGGAAAATTTGTTGACAGACAAGGAAATTATTTTATCTAAATTTGAAGCGAGTTTCACGGCGCGACTGTTCGTCGAGTTCAAAGATATTTTCAGGGCGGTATTTCGAAAAGGTTAGGCCGGAATTTTGTAGACAGATTTTTGGATTTTTGTGAAACTTAACTTGAAACTTAACTGGAAACGAACGAAGAATGAGTATGCTTTTTTTTCGCGGAAAGAGTAATCCTTGGTGTTGAGTAGCAAGTTTGGTAGAAGGAAAAATTTTGAAATGTATTAAGAAATAGAAAGAAGAATCACTGTATTCCGATAGTGAGAAATAAACGATGACTCTTGCGATACAGGCGCAAAAGACTTGTCATTTTCAAATACAGCGACTTATGACAGACCATTTTTCTGCAGCTACCAAGTTTAACCTGCCCTATCTTTTTGCAATACGTGTTTCAAAATTCGAGAATGCTAATTAATCGTAATTGTACCAATGTACATCATCATTGAAAAAAATGTTAAATTAAAACAGTATCGATTCTCAAGGTCCATAATTGAATAATACATCGTCGTTCGGTCGAGAAATATTTTAAAGACACGCGAAAGATTTTGAATCGAAGAAAAAGTATTTCGGTTTCGAACCACTGTACATCTTTTGTTGGTACGAGGAACACGTCTTTTGTTTCGAACGAACGCGAGCCGGAATCTCCCTCGAACCTCTTCACGCTTCTTTTCTTTACACGGACTGGCGCGCGAACGCACGCACAATTAATTCTGCTAAATTGACGAATCTCTTTCATTCTCAGACCGTCGTTCCTTTTCATCCTCGCTCCGAAGGCTCGTCGGCTTCCCCTTCCGTTTCCCGCGTTTTATCTCGCGATCGTGACTAACGTGGAACACGTATTCGTACGTTGGAACAGAAGAAGCGCCTGTCTCGTTTAAGCCTCCTTTTTTCCCCTTGAGCTCGAGCCGCGTTTTCCCGCTTGACACGCGGCAAACTAAAGCTCTCTTCTCTCTCTCTCTCTCTCTCTCTCATTCTTTGGCCGTGATAATTTTCGAACCTTTTGTTTCCGAATTAACCTTTGCTTTATGTCGTCTCGCGGAAAATCTGGAGGAAAATGAACGAAATAGAGGTAAGTAGCCTAAAAATCTGACAAATAGCCTATAGCTATTACGTGTTTCCGCTGTTCAGAAACTTCCGACGATTGTGTGAGTGAATGTGTCGTGTCTTTTGTTTTTTTTAATTTTATTATTTAATATATTTTTTTAATACTTTTACGTCTGTAACTATCTTTGACATTTTTAGTCATTTTTCTTTTATTTGTGCTTATTTATTATTTCTTTTCGTAATATTTGTGGACCTGCGTGATTTTTGTTTAAACAGCAGAATATCGTGTTTTCAACTTTACGTCAAACATAAACGCTTAATTGTGGAAAGCAGAAATACGTTGGTACAAAGTCAGATAGTTGGATGTGAGATTACTGCTACTAATTATAATTTATAATTTTCCAGCCGAAATGTTTTGATTAGTGAAAAGAATAAAATCAGTTTTTGTTCATTCCCTAATAAAAATATTATCCCATATTTTGGTATATACATATTTTATATTATTACTGAAAATTATATAATTACAATATTGAAAATTGCTCGTAATTAGATTGTAGTTTCTTATGCGTTCATGAAAAATTTGAAACCGCAAAAATATACAGAATTATAATTATAACATAATATAAAAATACATGTATATGAAATATCCAATGTTAATCTGTATTACTTGTAAAAATTTATGTATCAACGTATCATTTCATAACAAATTTATATGTTAATAATGGAAACACTGTTCTCTCTATATGTATTATAACTCAAATGACATTAAAAGTACAAAGTTGGTGTTCGTTCTATTGATTTGGCTACTTTCCTCGATTAGTTCGAATCTCTGACTTTCTTTCGCCGATCGGGAGGGAATCTTGCGACAAGTGTCGCGAGTTTCGCGCGAGACAATTGGGAAATTTTGCGAAAATTCGCCCCATTTCGTGCGAAAAGTTTGGCCAGCCACGGGGAGATTATAATCGAGCCGACGAGCGGAACGAGGAGTTTTTCCCGCTGAATAATTTCAGGTCGTGTGTTTCCGCGCCGTTTGTAAACGTCACGCGTCCGGGAAGCTGTTTAGAAGTTTCCCCTGTTTCCCGCTTCTTTCTCTCCTGTCCGCTGACAAATCGACCGTTTCGAGAGCGGCTGTCTCTCGCGCACGTACTCGCGTACCATTCACGAAACGACCGAATTATCGCCAACTCCTGGCGCTATAATGCGCGACTCGTGTCAGCTTTGTCGTGTCACTGACTAAACTGGTAATTAAACAAGCAGGATCCCTGGCTTTTCTCTATTATCGAGCGAAATGAGCGTCGAAACCAGCGTCACCGTCATTCGTGAAAGAAGACTGAAATTGAAATTCCGGCATTGTTGCTGTAATTACGGAAATGTAATTTAGAAATTCTCGATTGGCCTGGTTTAGAAATTCTGGATTTATCGACGAAAATCTGTCACTAAAAATCTGATATTGAAATCTACTGACAGTAAGAAATTATCTTTTTACATGTAAAAAAAAAAAAAAAAAAACAATTAAATGAAAACGAATGGTATTCCAAAAATTCTAGGCGTACGACAGAAAAATTATTATCGATTATGAAACTTATAAAATAAAAATAAAAATAGAAATTTTACATATGTAACAAGAAGAGTAATACTGACCAAAATATTCCACGTTCCAAGTGAAACTAGAAGAAACTATTTCAAAAAACTCTGGAAAGACTAGCGTCGACTGAAATATTCCGCGTCCATAAACAAGAATGAAATAGAACTAGAAAGTATTCCAGAAATTCTAAGAGAATTGTTCCGAGAGAAAGATTCGTTTACCGATTAAAATTATTATTTCGATTGCACAAAATTAGTCTCTGAAGTAAACTCTACAAATCCTCCATCTATAGCAAAAGAATTCGCATCGATCAAAGAGAATTCTTCGCCAATAGACAGCCGCTCGCTCACGTTCGATCGTTCGAAGCGATACGTTCGTACACGTCCGCGTACGAATTCTTTCTCAGTCATCATCCGCATCGATTCTACTTAGTTACAACTCTATATATAACAATCTACAAATTATCTACACACTCGAGCCTCTTGCGGTATGCCTGAAAAAAACGCCCGTTAGATTTTTTAGCTCTGAACAACGTTTAATAAACACCTAATGGTCCGATTACAGGAGGAGCGTTCGCGTTTTTTTTTTCTCTTCAGCTAGATTACGTTAATTACATGGTAGGTTAGCGCGTTTTCATTTACAGACTCTACGGTGCTTCCCTTTTATACACACGCGCGTTTCGTCGTTGCGCGCGATCGAGGATCACGCCGTTCTCACCGTCCTCTCGCCGCTTCGAACCAAATAAGAATTCTTTCGTGAGGGGAGATATGCGAGAAATTTGCTTAATTTTCGACGTGACGTTCGCGTTCGACGACTTCGAAAAATTTGCAATTACGCCCGTGTCGCGAGCGGGCACCTCTGTTAATGGGGGAGGGAAGAAAGGAGAGACGTAAAAAAGGGAAATGGAGAAAAAGTTGGAATCGAACCGCGAGCCAGCGTTTCGAAACTCGAAGAGATCCGGCAAAACTATCACCGATACGTTCCCTCCTTCGAATCGGGGCCACGGTTATCGAGTCGATCCACCCTTTCGAGGCCAGTTGCACAGATATGTCGCGCGCGATTCTAATGACCGAGATCGTTCCGGGATTTCCGGGATTCGTCGGAATATCGTCGCTGATCCAGCAGCGAGAGTGGCTGACGGAGCCACGTGTTTGGATCCACGGCCATTCTCTGCATATGGGATCCCTCCTCCCTCTTATTATTGACCACGTCCGCGGGAGAGGGTTGTTTCGTTGTCGAACGACGCTGTACACCGTGCGGCAATAAAAATTCTGACCGTGTGCGCCGCGTGCGCTCTTTTCGAGAGAGATCGAACGTGGTTACGATGGAACCGGTCGGCCGACGTGGAGTAAACGACTTCGATTCGCGGCCCACGGGAAAGTACGAAATTCAGAGGGACAAATAAATGGGTTAACCCTTTTAGCGCTGATGACAAAGATATCTCTTTTTGACCGAGCGAAATGCGCCAAACTGATGCAGCTTGGCTATGTAGGTTCGAGAGAGAAATGATAGAAACGAAACAAATAATTATTAACGATGGTGGATTATTGGATTCTTCCAACATGGCTCGCCCCTTTTCAAAGTTTCACCTACAGCGATTCGCGCCACGCTGCTGCCCCGAAGTTTCAAAGCATTTTCATTCTCGCCATTTGCGAAGATAACGATGAAAAACGTTTAAAAATGTAAATCAAATTTGAATTTTAAATCATTAAATTTAAATTTTAGATCCGTGTTCTTCAAGCGAAATTAATCTTCTACGCGGATTTTTCGAAAAATATTGTAATTACAAATTTCAATTTCAAATATAATCAATTTCAATTTGAACACTTCGATAAGGTACGATTTACGAATACAGTGTCTACTTACTTTCCTTTGAGGTTTCAACGCAAGCTCTACAATTTTCTAAACGCCATACTGTGTGCTCGGCGCTTTTCTCAGGCGTGGCCGGTTATTCAGCACTAAACGGGTTGAATCAATCTTCGAAGTACAAATCAACAGAATAAACGGGGAGAAGGAAACAACAGAGAACAGGAAAGAAATAAAAAATCAAACCTGAGTGATTAATTGAGGTGCTAAGAAAGCACCGGTCCTCGATCGCGGGCAACGATGCATAAATTCTCTACTCGTTTGATCCACGAGGCACGAAGATTAGAGCCCCGTTTAATAAACTGCGACTTCGACGTTCGTTGATGATCCAACAGCCACGAAGGCCATCGCGCGCGATTCTCGCTGGGTTTCTTTCTTTTATTTCTTTCTCTCTCTCTCTCTCTCTCTCTCTCACTCTCTCTCTCTCTCTCTCTCTCTCTCTCTCTCTCTTTCAGAGACGTTCGAGCAGCTTTTTCTAGGCGTTCGAGAATTTTCAATGGTCTCGATAGGAAACGAGTATGGGTCGTTCGTGTCACGAGGCGACCAGGCACGTCGACGCCGATCGAAACAGGCTGAGCAGCAGGAGGATCGCGACCAACAGGAAGCTCGACGACCTCGACAGGCCTCCGACCTCGTTGCTGTACGGTAACTTGACCTCGACCTCGGCCATCTTGAAGATGGAGAGCAGCGGGTGCGTGTGGACCTCGTGGTGCTTGTTGTTGATCTTGTCGCTGAGATCCTGCAGCATCGAGGCGCACTCCTCCTGCGAAACGTCAAGAATTCGTTAGAGAGATTGTTCGCGGCGTTCGTTGCCTCCTGAAATTTGCATTACCGCCGCATTACAGCGACGCGCCACGATTTCGGGAGAACTGGATTCCGTCGACATCGACGCGATATAATTTATCTGCTCCCAGCGGTACTAATATCCTTGCGAAACGGGACAGATTAAATATTGAAATTCGATCGTGCTACGAAATCGGCTACGAGATGGGCAACCTCTTGCGCAACATAACGCGAGAGAACTCGGAGGGTTTTAGGTTTATAGGTCACGGTCGAAAAACAATCGCTATTCTAGAGTAACAGAATTTTGAAAGGGTATAATAGAATTGCAGGTCAGCAAATAGAACGTGACTTGGTAAGTAATTTAACAGTCTTGCGCTGGAATGTTACGAACGTCGGGAATTTTTTGGTCCCAGAGTATCCAATACTTTCTCAGTTTCAAGTATAATTAAGTAACCTAACCCAGGCAAAACAAATAAGAAATTTATTACTTCTCAATAATTTCTATCCAGCGATGTCATACCAAACGACGACGAGCACCAAAAAGAAAGCGACGAATTGTTGTATACGGTTTGGTCGCTCGTTATGGTCCGCAATACGGTCAGTTGCCAGCGCAACGTGGTTAACGAACCTTCAATCTTTTAACATCAAATATCTCGCAGTGGCAGAGAGATCCTGTCACGAACCACGATGTTTCCAATATCGGTCGATATTGAATATTCCATGGGAACTTATACTATTAATTAATTTTAGCTTATAATGTATCTTCTCATTCGTTAATAATTCCGTGCGAGCGTAATAATCTGATACCGTGAGAATGAAATATAGAGCTCTGAGTCTCTTTCTATTTTTCCTTTCCGAATTGAAAATTCAAATTCATGAGAATTAAACCTTTGAGAAGCAAAACATAACGTAATCGTATTCTGAGGATAATTAGTTTGGCATCGGTTAATACCCGCTAACTCGCAACGATGCAGCCGATCTAGATAATCGATCGATTCACGATCACACGTTGAAAAGTGCGGAATCGTAATGCGACAGAGTTCGCACCCTTGATCGTAACTTACGCGTGCAATCGTAATTCTCGTTGTAACAATTTTTGCATAAATCGTGTAAATTACGAGTCACGCGGCGGAATGTGACTGTCGAGGGCCGTTATCCTGATGATTTAATTAAGTGGAACGGATAACACATTGGCCCTGGGAACGCAGGATTTCCCTTGTAATCAGAAATTAAATCACGGCCGCGTAATATCGTTGAGCCCTGAAAATTCTCGCTGTCCTTTGTCCCCATTGTACGCCAGGGCCAACGTCGTCCGCCGCGGCGCGCCAACTATTTCAGATAACAAGTGCTAATTTTTTCCGTCGTTGCGTTTAAGCCGCGGCACGGCCCCTCCGCCCAGCGAAATTATACTAAATTAACAATAACAAGATTCCTTTGTCCGCGGCAACGGGCGAGCCTCTTCCTCGCGCTTATAAAACACACACACACACACACACACACAGCGGGCTTGCAGTTTATTACCTCGAACAAACTAGTTTGTCAACCTCGCCGCCGCTGCCACTCTCTCGTCATTCTCCGATTCTTTTCCTTCGGTCGTGCTGACTTTCGCCCGAACGAGACGAAGAGCGTTCGCAATACACGCGGGAATATCGAGAATTGTTTCAATTGCCGTTCGAACGCTTGAAACACGAGTGCAAATGTGACAAACTGTGCTAAAAGTTCAATTTTCAATGCACGCGAGCAGGACAAGTAGTATATACGTTTCAACACTGAAGTTCGTACAATTGTGTTCGAACAGTTAACGCAAATGGAACAACCACGAACCTGATGCAATTGCAAAATTTGTTGCACACATTCACAGGCTTCGTTAAAATGCCTTTCACGCTAAAAACCGTCCGACGTTCAAGGATTCTCTGGATTAAAAGCTGTATAACTAAAGACTAAACGATGTATAACGATGTAAAAATTCGTGTAACTAAAACATGCACAATATATACGTATTCACCCCTCTAATCGAAATTGTTACCGTGGCCTGATTCAGCCCGCGATATAAATATCCGAGACGAGAAATAAAAACGAAGTAAGAGCGAAAGATCAACGGTAGAAGGAGATAGAGAGAGAGAGAGAGAGAGAGAGAAAGGGAGCGGTGATCTCGCGGTGAAAGGGAGCGCTTTTAATGCGGTTTTAATTCGCTCTGACTTCGAGAGGAGAGCCAGGCGAATAATTAACTCGGTTCCAAGGTCACGGTCGCATTAACTCAAAAGGGGCGTGTTTCACGCGCGCCCGAGCACGCCCTTAAAGTTTTTCCATTCCCCCCCGAGGGTAGAGAACAGCGTCCTTCCTAAAACGTTTTCTTCGGGGATCTCCCTCTCGATATCGACTTAACGACGCCAAATGTAACTCGCGCTCCGCCGTTCTCCGCCGGTTCTCTTCCCTCCTCTCTTCCTCCGTGCGCATCGATTTCCATTTTCAACCCCTCGTCGTATCATTTTCCCTCTTTCCTCCTCTCTGCTTCTTCCAACCCGCTCCAACCGTCTCTCCCTTCCTCCCTCCCCCTTCCCCCCCAAGGGCTTCTCTTTTCCCCTTTATTTCGCCTTCTTGTTCACCGTCGCCGAATTTACCCTCGGCTCGTTGAATCTTTAATTTCCGGCGGAGGCGAGACCGAGGCCAGAGCCGGATTTTTGGCCGATATTTTTCGGAGAAGCAGGCTGCCGGCCGCTATCGTGGTGCTCTCTGACGCTGCTGTGCGCCACGTGGTCCGACCAGAGTAGCAACGAACGCGTCTGCGAGCCCCACGACGTCACCACGTCGTGTCCCTCTCCTCCTCGTCCTGTTACGATAGAAGGTTCGCTGGTTCGTTCGTTCGTTCGTTCGTTCGTTCGTTCGTTCGTCCGTTCATTTCGTCGAAGCATCGACGTCGGATTTTCAATGAAATTAAATTCCAGTCGAAAGGAGAGAGCCAGCCAGCCATCTACCACCCCCCCCACCTACACCCTTCTCCTCCGTGCACCCTTTCGAATAACTTTCCGCGAGCGAGCAGAGGCCCTCTGGTTCTTGAAATTATCGATGCACCGGGAATTTCCCTGTCCTGCTGCACACGCCATTCGAGCGATATCGATCCATATCGATTCGTCCTGGTATCTGTCGCGAGCACACGGATTTCTAACGCGAGTCCTCTGCTACTCTGTTCTATATATACATACATATACATATACAGGGGACATATTCCCACTTTTTTCGATCCTTGTTTTCTCTCCGAGGGTAATATTTTTTTTTCCCCCGTTCGATTCTTTCTTTTTGCGTGTACTTTTTTTTTCCGACGTATCGCACGTATCGCCTGATCCTCGGATTTTCGGAATGGAAAAGAATTTCAAAGTGTGTCTCGACGAAACGTCAGCGAAGCAAAGTCCTCGCTCGAAACGATAATTTATTCGGCGAAACACTTCGAACGAGGACGGCGATGTCATCATGCAAGTTGGCTATACCTGCAAAAACTGTCGAGAATGACACGCGTGAATCTCGCTAACGCTTGGCAGTGACAAGTTTCTGAACAATTTGCTGAATTTCAGGTGTATCTTTATTATCTTCTCTCGTCGCGAGCCGTCTGCTCGGTATCAAACTCAGTTTCGAAATCCAGGGACGAAAAGAGCGTTTCATTTTTTTCGCGCTCGGTCTTTCGACAATCCTTCAGGACTCGCTCTCATCATTCAGCGCCGAACGGAAGAGCATTCGCAACTTGTTTCGAGGTTAATAATTCGGAAGCTCGGATTCGAATAGTTGTTTCCTGTTTCCTTTCATCGTCGCGTTGGAAACGCGGGCGGGAAAAATCGTTGGAGCTCGTTCGACTCGTCGAACGTAATTGAATTCGGCCACCCACCGGGGAAATAATGATCTATACGCGGCCGGGACCAAGTCCACGGCGATAACTCGTTTTACACATTGGCCAACACTAATTGTAGCGTGTTGCGGCTTAATTATCGAGTATGCGATCCGACCGCGAATTTCGTCGCTCCTCTCTTCTCTCCGAATACCTTTCAAACTATTCTCCCAACCGCCCCTCTTTATTGACAAAAAGTATATATCGCAATAATTAGCCCGATTGCCTCTCCGAGCTCACCAATTTCGATACCGCCGCGTGACCTCAATTATAACGTTCAACGACAATTATAAATAAATGAGACAGCAGCAATAAAACTCGCAGGAATATCCGAATATTATTTTATCGAGCATGGGAGAAGTTCTTTCGGCCCTTCGACCGAAAGCGATCAATAAACGTGTAAACGTGTCCTATTTATTTTTGTTTATTTCCATTAATTTTTTTTTTTTTATCTCTTTCTGCTTTCAATCGAATCACTTTGTGAGATGAATTTCTCTGCATCTATTTGGAAAATATCTATGTCGTTTTGTTTGAATCACACTTTCGAGTGGAAAGATGGATCGCCGAGCGAAACGAAATCTGGTAGATACACACCTGAACTTTAGAGTGGACGTGAACTTCTTTGAAAGTTCGTGGATGTAAAATATTATAAATACTGCAATTTCTTGGAACTTGGTAGTTAGCAAATCCCTTTGGACGCAAAAATTGCTGCGCTTTACTGTATAATATTTGTTACGGAAATTTTTTTACCAAGCTTCTACATTTTTAATTAGACTCTCAAAAAATATGAATTTATACGCAGTTTACTAAAAACGAATGTAAAATGTACGTGGAAGATGTAATTACGAAAAAATTTTCAGAGTCTCGATTGAAAAATAAAATTTGATAATTAGACCGTCAGTTTCCACGTGTGTATTTCGAAATTCATAAAAAAAAAAAAGAAAAAAAATTGGAAAATCTAAATAGAAAATTGTTTTATCCGTTGTACATATGATGGTCTGGATATTTTTGCAGTTTTCAATTTCTCACAAACACGTAGAAACTCGCAGTCTGTTAGTGAGATAAATTGATGAAAAAGAGTTGCGATTGAAATGTTGCATTAA